GTCTCCATCACCTGAGCCAATTTACAACAATGAGGGAAAGAGGCTAAACACCAGAGAATACAGGACTCGTAAAAAGCTGGAAGATGATCGCCACACTTGCATACAGAGAATGATGAAGATTAACACAGACTACAAACCGCCTGCTGACTACAAGTAAGTTCATTGTGAACAGCATTCCATTCTCGAGGCTAGGTTTGTGGAGAACAGGGTAAATAACTATGTACGAACTTCATTTTATGTGATTGTGTTGGTTAGTGTTGTGAATAAAGATGAGCTGAAAGAAAATAAATCCTGAAGATATGTTACTATGAAGAAGTAATCATATCTATTGCTTTTACAGGCCACCTGTCGTTAAAGTGTCTGACAAAGTGATGATTCCCCAAGAAGAACACCCAGACATTAATTTTGTTGGCCTTCTGATTGGTCCTCGTGGAAATACACTCAAAGCCATGGAGAAAGACACAGGTGCAAAGATAATAATTAGAGGCAAAGGATCAGTTAAGGAAGGCAAGGTAAGTTCTTATACCCTTTTATTTTGTTTTGAATCTTTTCTGATTGAATGGTTATTTTGAATGTGAGTTTATGATAATGGGGCATAAGAGTAAAACAGTTGTTGCTGAGGTGAGATCTTGTTAAAACCCCTCTGGAAGATGGGCGTTTAAGATGTTGACTGCAAATGTACAAGCACGATTTGAGACTCACTAGAAAAATAATCTGCATAGTTGCAAAGGTTTATTTTTCTTTTGGGGTGGGATGTGATCCAAGCAAAAGAATTATTTCACTCTTAATAGTTGCATTTATGTGCCCTTAAATTCAGTGTTGCGGTTGTTTTTTCTCTTTTTGAATAAAACTGCAATGCTTTTGTAGTACATTCTGTGAAACTGAATCTTGGAATATATATATATATATATATATATATATATATATATATATATATATATATATATATATATATATATATATATATATATATATATATAAATTTTTTCTTTTCTTTTCTTTTTTTTGATTAGAAATAACTAAATGACTATTTGGTTCTTGTTTAATAACTGTTAATGGTTCTAATGTTGCTTCATTCAAGTAAGGTAGTTTTAGAATGACTCTGATGTTCTTAATTTCATTACAGGCCTTATTGCAGCAGGTATATTTAAATTTAACAATTTTTTTTCTCTTACTAGGTTGGCCGTAAAGATGGAGGTCCAATGCCTGGTGAGGATGAGCCTCTCCATGCCTATGTAACTGCCAGTAACCCTGAGAGTGTCAAGAAAGCTGTTGATAAAGTGAGTAAATCCTTTTGTTGTCTTCTATTTACAGTCCTAATGCCTCACAAACAGTATTGACAGATGGAAATGATTTTAGTGTGAAGTACGAAGTAGATATACAATTTTATATGAAAGACAGAGTTTTTTGTTAAAATTCATCCCCTATCTTGGTATCCCCATCACTCTGAATTACCTAATCTCTGTGCTGCCATACTTTCTCTATCTCCTGTTCTTTCTGTCACCCTATCAGTCCTTAACCTATACCATAGCTTCAGTGTATTAATTCATGATGTGATAGGGTGTCACCATGCATCTGGGAATTTTCACTTTCATGTGATGATGTATCATCAGTTACAGTAGACTGACAATAAAAAATAGATTTATATTAGGCTAAAAATGTGTGTGCACGTATATCTCTCTCCTCTCTCCTTTCTCCTCTCTTCTTGCTCCTTGCTTCTTGCTTCTTGCATCTCTCTCCTCTTTATTTCCATTTCGATTTTTATATTTAATAGCCCTGTTTCCAGTACTCTTAACCTGCAATTGAATTTATGAAAACAAAAAAAACTAATATTATGATTGTTACAGATCAAGGAAATAATTCGACAAGGTGTTGAAGTCCCAGAAGGTCAGAATGATTTGAGGAGGATGCAGTTAAGAGAGCTTGCTCTCCTAAATGGTACTCTTCGTGAAAATGACGGACCAAGATGCTCAAACTGTGGTTCAAATGCTCACAAGTCCTGGCAGGTATGTTATGTCATCCATTATTATTGTGATGTATTACAATTGGCAGATCAGTGTTTTATAAATGATTCTTTGCATTGTTATGATCAACTCTGCTGAGGAGGCTAAGTAATTTTTTGCATTGTTATGATGAACTCTGCTGAGGAGGCTAAGTAATTTGCTTGGTTTATTTATGTTGTCGAGAAAAGTTGTGTGGCTTATCCACAGCTTGGGTAAGAGTTTGTTAGATTTTAGTGGTGATCCTGTGAGTTGAAGAGCATTTTTTGTTTTTGCCTCTTTACTGTTGTGTGTGCATTCAGTGCCTGAAGACTGATTATCATGTATAAAGAAATCTTAATTGTATGTCAGGGTTGGGGATTTTAGATAGTGCGTAGAGTGGGAAGTTCTGGTTGATGTGGTGTACTCCCACACCCAGTGTCAGGCCATTGCCAGAAATCAGCAGAGTTTATCGCACTCAGAGATTTCTGTTTCCCAGCGGTGATGGGTTAAAGCTGGAGGCAGAGGTCTGTGCAGTGTTGAATACGATTCTAGTGTAATTTTATTTTTTGTTTCAGTGCCCTGACAAACCTAATGTTACAAATAATGTAGTTTGCACAAGCTGTGGAGGAACTGGGCATATTGCTAGAGATTGTCGGCAACGACGTGGGCCTGGAGCTCCTGCAACTGTAGATCGGCAAAAGATTGATGAAGAGTACATGTCCCTAATGGCTGAGTTAGGTGAAGGTCCCCCTCCACCTCAAAATACTGAGCTCACTACTAAGAGGCCAGCAGCTGTTCCAACAACTAGAAGTCTCTTTGATCGACCACAAGGAGCACCAAGGCCTCTGATGGCTCCCCCACCTCGTTCTGAACCTCAGGCTACTCCAAACAATCAGTTTGCTGCCAATAGTCAGAACCAAGGTAACATGAATCAGCAGAATTCTTGGAATTCCAATCAAATGGGACAGGGAGCTCCAAGACCATTGTTAGGAAACAGCAATGGACCTCCCAATTTAAATCAGCCACCACCAGGAATGCCATGGCAGCAGCAGCAACAGCAACAGCAGCAGCAACAGCCTCAACAGCAGCAAGCTCCTAATTCCTTCCCAGGAGTACCACCACCCAATCTCCTTCAAGCACCACCTCCACCACCACCACCTACTACACAGAATGGCCAGCAACAGCAGCAGCAACCAAGTTGGATGAGTCAAGCTCCACCAGGTCCCCCAGGTGCTCCACAGGGACCTCAGGGTCCACCTGGAGGTCATGGTGGCCCCCACGGAGGTCCACATGGAGGACCACCACATGGTCCCCCTCCTCAAATGAACCATTGGCAAGGACCCCCTCCAGGACCTCATCATGGTCCACCAGGAATGGGTTGTCCTCCACCAGGACCTGTGCCACCACCTCGTCCTGTTGGACCCCCTCCTGGCTGGGGCTGGAATGGTCCACCACAGCCAGTGGGTCCTCCACCGCCACCTCCTCCAGGTGGCCCAGGAGGACCTGGCCCCCGTGGACCAGGTGGTGTAGACCTAGGATCCCTCTTGTCAGCACCACCCCCACCACCACCATCATAGATTTTGTATCCTAACAGCAGTACAAATGCTCTACCACTAAAGAATGCATACCCCAGGAACCCATACCCTCAGGGCTACTGATTGATGCGTATGTGTACAACTTAGTGTTTTGGAGTTTTTTGCTCTTTATAATTTACAGCTTCATTCCATTGTAGGAGAAGCAACATCAGCTTCTAGAGGTAACTTCTACATTGCAGGATTTTTTCCAAATTCTTAAAAGTGGATGCTTCTACTGTGGAAGGTGGACATTTTAATTGTACAAAGACTTGCTTTGAATGAATGCTTATCCAAAGATCTTTAGTTTACTTGTACGAAAGGATCTTTATTCTGAATTTATTATGTCTGACATGAAATGCAGCTTCATTTTAGATATAGATTGGACAACTCTACAAGGCATTGAATTTGTAGAATACATGACTTGTCTATTATTATTATTTTAAAATTATTTTCTCCTTAGTGTTCTTTTAGAAAACTGAACCAGAACTATATGTATATGTAAGATTGTAATGCCAGTTGAATGAAGATAAGATAAGATTATTATAATTATTTATTATCATGGTTATGTCTGTTATTAACATTATCACTATTAATGTGAAATTGTGTTAGTATTCTTTATTTAATTATTGATTGAAACTGCCATTTTCTTAACAGGTGAATCATGATAGGGATCAGTTTTGATAATTTTGTTGCATGGAATCAATCTTGTCAATTGATGTTATTTTTTATATATTTGTCACTCAACATGGCATTGCAGCTGTTCTTGTAATCAGTGTGTGGCATTGCCATGAAAAAAAGGAAAAATATGGCACCTGATAGTGTGTATATCTGTGAATAACCAAGGGAATGCAAAATATGATTTTTGCACTGAAAAAGAAGTTATTAAGTTGATAGGAATATTTTAGTAAATTGGAAAAGAGAAACTTGTTTATTATTATCCATCAAAATATGATTTATCTTTTTCTCTGTTTTTCTCATTCTTTTGAACTTCATTCAAATATTTTGAAGATTAGAAAGGTTTAGAAATTCCTGATTGTATCATTGCCTTCACTGTCCAGTAAATACTTCCTGCAAGTTGAAATCTTTTTTCATGCAATATGGTCATACCTAAAAATCCAAATGTTCACATCAAATAAACTTTAGTTTATCAATATGAAGTAAGTTTTCATAATTTTCCTTTCAACCGATTAATTCTGGCACAGACATCCCACACTATATTGAGCAGGTAATGTTCCTCAAAATTCGATGTTAGGTTATTGTTCCTCTAGAGAAGGCAAATGTGACAGGATTCATCAGGTGCATATCTAGTCACTTGGCTTTAAGAATTGAAAAGCCATCCAACCAGCTCAAGGAGCACTTAACTTTGGACTGGATCAGAAGTAAGAATTGAATAGAGTAACGTCAGACTTCTATTGTCTGTTAGTTTCGTTAGGGTTGCTTTCCC